AATACGTGATTTGCCACAAAAGCCCCGATGTTATTGTCAGCATCACTCTAATTGATTTACTTCAAAATGGACGTTAAGTGCGGACATGCTGCATCTATGCTGTTCTATCAATGTTCAGCGTACTCTGAAGTTGCATGGGTAATATTTTCTTTCAAGACCTTTCCTTGAGAAAAAGCATTATATATTATATTTGAGGGTTTTTTTTGTGTTCTGTCTGACGACAGGTCCATATGAACAGGATCCTTCCATCCTTTTCTCGGACTGGGACCTGTTCATATACGTTCTTGGCAGATGATCCAGAAGTGGTTTGACATTGCTTATTTATTTTGTGTTCTGTCTGACGACAGGTCCATATGAACATGATCCTTCCATCCTTTTCTCGGACTGGGACCTTTTCATATACGTTCTTGGCAGATGATCCAGAGGTGGTTTGCCATTGCCTTCTTCTGTGTGTGAGTGGAGTAATTGTTGGGATGCCACGGAGAAACCGGGGAAGCCCCCGGAGGAAAACTCCGTGTTGCCTAGACCACGGCCTTGCCCAACACAAGTTATAAATTCGGGCACCGCCGGGAATCGAACCCGAGACCCCAGGATTACAAGGCCAGCGTTCTAAACGCTAGACCACCGTGGCTTTCTAAAAATTACATGCAACTTATGTTCGAGTGCTTACGACCTTACGGATCCAAAAGAACATTAGGCCTACATAGTAGACAGTTCAGCGTTTTAATCCCGCTTGGACGAACACGGTATACTGCTAGCATTATTAAACTTCAAAAGAACGGTTTCAAAAATTCAAAATTTGTTATTTTACAGGAACAATATATCCCCAGATCGATTCTTCGGTTATTTTATGGAGCTTATTCAAATGCAGACTTTATACAGCGTTGAATGATATGGAAGAGGTGATCAAGAATGGTGTGTACGTCATGATTTTGAAGCACGAGATCGTAGCATGTTTGAAGATACGCCTTCAATCATAGAATCCTCCTGGACAGACTGAGAAAAAATTCAGTAGATATCAGTTAGGATAATCGGCTTTCCGGCAGAGAGTTGAATTAGAAGCCTGCCTGTTCGAATAGGCTCTTACGAACTTCATACCTTGGACTGCCTTCATCTGACTAAGGACAGGACTAGTTTCTGGCTCTTGTGAACACGACAATGAAGCTTCAGGGTACATAAAATACAGGAAACTTCTCAAATAGCTCTTTGATTTATTAAATTATTCTCGTTTGTTAGCCAATTGTCTTTACGCAAATGACTCCTCTTCTGGAATATTGACATGGCTTACTCATCGCCCCGATGATGGAGGTGGTAAGCACCTCTGAAATGTCGGCAAACTTTTACCGGACTACATAGCGCTACAAACCAAAAGGCAACATACGCGCCGCCATGGGAATCTGAAATCTTAATTTTGTTTCTGCTCCCACAACGACAAAGATAACGTCATGACACAACAAATAAAGACTTTCGGCATTTCTTGTCTCGTTGCTGACAACGTGATAAAAACACAGCACCTGATAAACACTGAAATCTTTACGACTTCAGTTACATATTTCCACAATCAATTGGCAGTTCTGCCCACCAAGAGACTCATCCCAGGCGCCAACGTGTTCCTACAACGCACTCTCCCTCCCGGATATCAAAAGGAAACAGATAACAGGTTAGTTGCAGAACTTTTACCACGAGCTATCACGGAATATTTGTACTGTAAATACAAACTGGAGCGCAAACGAAACATTTATTGCTCATAGCACTTGTGACGACGAC